GAAAGGTGGAAGGGGAAAAGGAAAGGGAGAGAGGAGGGAGGAAAAACGAAGGGAGAAAGAAGAGAAAAGGGAAGGAAAAGAGAAGGGGAAGAGAAAATAAAATGGAAAAAAAAGAAATAGAAAAAGAAAAGAAAGGGGGAAAAGAGAGGAAATGGAAAAGAAGAGGGGGGAAAGAGAGGAGAATAAAATGGGGGGAAAAAAGAAAGGAACAGAGAAAAAGAAAAGAAGGGGGGGAAACGAAAGGAAAAGAGAAAAGGAGAGAGAAAAAATAGAATATGTCAAAAAAGGGGAGGGAAAAAGGAAACGAAAAGAGAAGGGAGAAAAAGAGAAAAGGGAAGGAAGGAAGAAAAAAAGGGAAAAGAGAAGAGAATCAGAAAAAAAGAAGAGAGAGGAAGAGAAAAAGAAAGGAAAATAAAAAGGAAAAGGGAAGGAGGAAGGAAAAGGAAATCAACGAAATAAAGGGAATGGAATAAGAAACGGGAGAAGGGAAGGAAAGAAGAGAGAAGAGGAAAAAAACAAAAGAGAAAATAAAGGAAAAGAAATTAAAAGAAAATAATAATAAAGGGAAAAAAGGGAAAAAAAAGGAAAAGGAAACGGAAAAGGAAAAGGGAAATTGATGTATGGAGGAAAAGAAAATAAAGGTAACATAAGACATTTAAATGGAAGAAGAGGAGGAAAGGAAGGGGAAATAAAAAGGGGGGAAGAAAGCAAAATACCAGGAAAATAGAAAATGAGAAGGGTGGAAAAGTGGGGAAAAAAAAAAAAAAAAAGAGGGGGGGGAGGAAAAGGGAAAAAGAAAGGCAACTATAAGGAAAACAAATAACGCAAATGGCAGAAGAGAGGAAAAGGAAAAAAAAAGAAAAGAAAAGAAAAAGGGGGTGAAGGCAAAGGGCGCAGCAGCCGATCACAGCCGGGCGGTGCAGCGCGGCGGGGCCCGGACCCAACAAACAGCGGGGTGACCTGAACCCAATAAACAGCATCGACAAACGGCACCGAGGGGAGACGCCGCCGATCCCTCGGGACCCCTCACGGCAACGGGGAGAGACAGAAAACCCTTCGTTATCCGGGTGGGGGGGGGGGGGACGGAGAGCGGGGATGCGCAGCGCTGGAGGCGGCGGCACCTCCGAGTGTCGGAATCGGAACCGGCCGCTGTGCGCATCCCACATCCGTCCCGTACGGCTCCAGAACCGAGCAGTACATTAACAAACGGCTATTAAGATAAAGGGGGATTTATGTTTGTTTTTAAGTAGTTCGGATAATTTCATTTGATCTGATATATATATATATACACACACACACACACAGACACATACATCTGTGTATACATAGATATACACACATATATACACATAAATGCATGCATACACACACACACACACAGAGAGAGACACTTACATACATATATATACACACACACACATACAGGGGGGCCAATCCAGCCCCACTCCCCCCCACCGCACTGCGAGTTGGCAGCACAGCACGTTGGTTTTATTCCATCTACACTGATCGATTTCTCTCTTAATTTCTCCTCCTCCTCATTATTTTCAATGATCGTTCCGTCGATGTATATTCGTTTATTATTGTTATTGTAATTATTATTATTGTTGTTGTTGTTATTTTAGGAAGGTGCTTCAGGCAGAAGTTTGGGTTCGGCAAAAGGTTTGCCGCACGTTTGCCCGCCTGCCCCTAAAGAAATAGCGTTATTAATGAGGGTGTCAATTAGCGTGGGCCGTGCTGGGGGTTTATAGCCCCCCCCGCAGCTCTTTGCTCCTCAACTCTAAGCTGAAGTCGATGCAAAACGTTGGGGTTAAAGCAGAAAGGTGCTGTGAGAGTCCGGGAGGGGGAAGAGGGGGGAGAAATGCGATCTCACAGCGATCGGAAACGCGAACGGCAAAGGGCGCCCATCGCTGCGAGCAGTGCTGGGGATGGGGGAGAGGCGGGGAGGCACAAAATAAAACAAAATAAAAAGAATTAAATATTATAATAACGATAGAGCAATCCTTGGAGAGGGCTGCAGCCCCTTTCCTACTCTTCAGAGCCCGGCCGGAGGCCCCGCACCGATGCCCCCCATTTCTCACCGCACGATTTCCCCATAGCAGGGGGGGGTTCCGTCGCGGTACCGCCGCGGACTCCCCCCGCCATCCCTACGGAGCCCCGCAGCCCGCACTGCGAGGCGGCCCCACGCAGCCCCACGCAGCCCCCCCGCCTTCGAGCAGCACCACGGGAACTTCGGCAGCACAAACCCCGCTATTTCGCCAGCGATTTGTTGTGCTTAAATACACGAGAAGAACAACATCTCGTTCGCTGCACCCTGGTGCGGGCAGGAGAAGAGAGACAGCCCCACGTCGGGCTGGGAAACGAATGGTGCACAGCCCCCCCACCCCCCCGCTGTTGACCCCCCCACCCCCTCCACCGCGGGACGCTCCGCTTCTCACGAATCGTTTGCAAACAGGCTGGGGAGGGGGGAGGGGGAACCGTAATAGCAATAATCGATGATCACGAACGCAAATCATAAATGCTAACAACGATAACAAATACAACCGAAACCCGACCGGCACTGCTCGCACCCCCAAGTCGTCCGTCCCCCCCCCCTGTTCCCACACAATGTCCCCGCACACGTCCGGACGCTCACGGCCCTGCCTGGGGGGGGGGGGCACACGGAGCCGCGCCACCTGTAGCTCTGCAGCACGTACCGATGGATGCGCGGACGGAGAGACGAGAGGCGGGTCGGGGCCGCGTGTCGCGACACACGGCAGCAGCGGGGGCACCGCTCGGAGCCCCGTGCACACGCACAACCGCGCTGACCGCCCCGTCGGGGCCCCCCCGTCTCTCCCATGCAGCAGCGCTGCCGCACACGGGGAGAAATGAAAGGAGGGGAAGCGAGGCCGGGGTTGGCAGCGGGCCGCACAGAGGGGATTGGGAGAGAAGAGAAACGCGTCCTTACGTTGTACCGGCACCCCGAGGATCTCCGGCAGCCCCTTGACAGCCCCTTCGGCAGCGAGCGCTGAGCTTTGCATCATTTTATTGGCCCGGGGGCGGCGGAGGGGAGAGAAGAGGGCAAGGAGAGGGCGGCGGGCCGGCCCCCGGCCGCAGGCAGCACCGGTTCCAGCAGCAGCAGAGCCGAGCCCAGCCGCGCTGTGCCGTACCGGTGCCGGTGCCGGCCCGGGCGCGGCGCCGCAGCTGTGCCGCCAGCACCGCCCGCCTCCCATTCATTCCCCCTGCGGGGAGCGCGCCTGACGTCACCGCCCGCAGGGGGCCGGGGGCGGGGCCTGCCGCGCTCCGCCAATCCCCGCACGCCGCACGCCGCGGGGGGCGGAGCCCGATAGCTGGAAGGGGCGGGGCTTCGTGGTTAGTGGGCGTGGTCTTAGAGAAAGGGGCGTGGTCTAGCGGCGCCACGCCCCGGGACTCCGGAGGCTGCGGAGCGTGGTTGGCGTTATCGCGACACGGGGCTGTCGTGACATAGCGCTGTTCAACGGTGCCGGTGCAGAGAGGCAGAGCAGAGACTGGGGCCGTTCGGTGCTGGTGAACCGGGCGCGGGGATGCCGAAATCCCCCCCAAAGCCCCAGCGGGGCACGGGGCCCCGGCACCGAGACCCATCCGGCAGCACGGATCCTGCCCGCATCACGGCCGTGCTGAGCAGCTCCCTGCGGGTCGGGAAGAGCGATCCCGGAGCGTTGGGATGTACGGACAGGCGGACGCACGGACATCTCTTTCCCCCATCTCCTACCCAAGCCATTCCCCAAACGCCACTGCCGGAGTCACCGCGCTATGCCCCCCTTCCCCCCCAGTCCGGCGGGCTCCGATGGATCCTTCTGCCCCAACGAATCCCCTTCTCCCGTGGGGGTTCCGTTCTCATTCATCTTTCTGCTTCGCACATCGATACAGACCCCCCCCCATCGCCATCCGCATCGCCCATCCCTGTAGAACGCGGCTCCCCCTGACCCCGCAGCACCTTCCCGCACCACCCCTATCCTGGCCCCGCTCCGTCCCCTCCCGCACGTTCCCTCGCCCATCTATTCCCGGCGGTGCTGCCCTTCGGTCGGTTTTGGGTTTCGTTTCCCCCCCGGTGCCCTGAGAGGGCGTCAGGGTTGCAGAAACCCATCCCCTCCACGCTGCCCTCACTGGGAAGGGGGGATCTCCGCATCCTACACCCACCCCCACTGCATGGAGAAATCACGGAGCGGGCACTTACCGGCGGCTGGAGAACGCGGGGAGTGCCAAGCAGGGCGCTGTTAATTTTAATTGGGGATTAGCAGACACGAAGGGTGTCCCCCCCACCCCCAGCCCCGCGATTTTGTGTCCGGAGAGACGCTCCTGCCTGCATCGAGGAGGGAAAGGAAAGAGGGGAGAAAGGGAGCGGCGGGCGGCAGCGAGCCGGTGGGGGGGGGGGGGGGGGGGGGGGGGGGGGGGGCTGCTGGCCCAGGAAAATTAAATTGCACTTGAGGGCAAATTCTATTAGGGAATAGCGACTGTCTCCCATCAGCCTGCGCCATTTGGGTAATTACCGGCGATGGGAAGGGGCGGCCCCGGGGGGGAGAAGCAGTACGGTCCCCCCTCCACTCCCACCCCGCACATCTTAGCCCACCTGTGAGCACTGCACAACGCGATGCTGCCCCACCGCATCGGGTGCCCATCGGTGTGGGGGGGATCCCCAGCTCTGCCCCCTTTGCGAGCATCGGGCCGGCACCAAACAGGATTACGGAAAGTCTATTTACGGGACTCTCTTTTTCCCGTGTGCGTGGTGGCTTTTAGCTCCCAGCCCCGCAAATCTCCCCCCACAGCGGCGATCTGGGCAGTCCCATCCCCCCCCCTTTCCCCTCCCCTCCCCCCAGCGCATCCTATCTCCCACCACTGCTTTGGGGTCCGGGAGGAGGGTAGGGGGTGCAGAGCAGCATCTGCTTCCAGGAGAGGTGCACGGGGGGGGGGTGGGGGTGAGGGATGCTGGGGACGGGCACCTCCCCCTCCAGGGAAATCAAGGAGAGGGAGGCAGCACGACAGACGATTTATTTCAAGGGCAGGAGGATGGGCCCGCAGAGCTGCCGGCCCTCTCCTCCCACCTGGGCGAAGTGAAGATATCAAGAAAATGGCTCCAAATCGGATTGACACCCCCCTCACGCACACCCCCTAATAAAGTTTATTATCAGCCGGGTTCTAATCCCTTTAAATCCCCGCACGGGGGGCAGGGCTGGGATTAGGGGAGGGCTGCGTAATCCCAATGAATTTGTTACAGGGGGATTTAGGCAGCGCCAACGGAGCAGATGGCCGCAGCCGCAGAAAACAACCATTTTCCTTAATGATTCCTAACAAGGATAAAAGGGCAGGGAGAAACGGGGCCAGCGCCCGGTCCCCGGGGATGCTCCTGCGTCCTGCCCAGGGCACAGCTGCAGCTCCAATACTGGGGCTGGGCTATTGCCAGCTTCTTTCCTTGTGTCCCCCAGGCTGTAGGGGCCGTCCGACCACTTGGGGACACTGTAACCCCGTGGACGTGGGGCTGGGTATCATCCCGAGGCAAGAGAACAAAATAAGGGACGAGCCGACAGCACAGTCGGCAAAAATAATTTATTCCACTAAGACAAGCAGAGAGCGAGCAACGAGATGGAGGAAGGGGACAAAATGCTGAAACCCACCCCCAGTGCCCCCGAAGGCAAAGGGGGAACAGCATGGGAGGGAACCAACGTGATGCTCCTGAGCCCAGGAGCCTCCTGAACCAGGAGGCTGCCCCAGCACGAGACCAGGCTGCCCAGTCCCAAACCAGCCCAGTTCCTACAGAAGGCAGTGGGGTGCAAGGACCCCAACCAACATCAGCATCACAGCCGCAGGAATGTGGCACATGAAGGAACAACCCCCCCACAAAAAAGAAAAAAAACAAAAACCAGCAGCAAAACCTCTGCCCTGGGCGATGCGAGGGGGAGCCCCGCAGCCTGAGGAGGGGGCCTGCAGCCCAAGGGGGGGGGGGTCCCCACTTTGCTCTCACGCCACGGGGAAGCCAGGACGGACTTTCCGTGCACGGGTGCGGAGTCGGAAGAAGGTGTACATGCCCAGCAGGCACATGGAGGAGAGGAAGTAGAGCGCGATGCAGAGGCTGACGTCCAGGCGGGAGAAGCCCAAGCCCAGCACCCGCAACCAGGGGCTCCTCCGTAAGCCCCCATCCTCCTCTTCCTCACGGCTCTCAGGCACTCGCAGCCGCTCCCAGCCAGCGTCGTGATGCAGGGCGACGGTGTCCCTCTTGCTGAGCCGCCGGTGCCGGCCGGCCGCCCGCAGCGCCTTGCTCTTGAAGTGCTGCTCGCTGAAGGAGTCCAAGTCCACGATGTCCTCCCCCAGTGCCTGCAGCCGTGGGTTCCTGCGCACGATGCTGGGACGGCGCAGCTCCGAGGAGCCCGGCCGCCCCGTCTCGCTCTCCCTGTCTGGCTTCTCTGTCTCCTTCTCTCCTTCTTCCTCCTCCTTCCTCTCCTTTTCTTCTTCCTTTTCCCGGAGGCCTGCAGTGCCCAGCCTGGCACTCGCCACCACCTCCTCCCTGGCCCTGGGGATGGGGACGGCGTGGTCCATGCGGAGGTTGCCCGGGGAGAAGTGCTCCTTGAGGAAGCTCAGCACAGCCACCTCGTCCCACATGTGCACGCCCTGCTCCTCTCGGTGGCACTGAGGACACATGTCTGGTGGAGGCCACTGCAGCTTGGGGAACTGGGGGTCCTCTGTGTCACCACCTGGAGGAGCAAGGAGTGAGAGGTGCCCTACGCAGCAGGGACAGTGCGGCCCCACACCGTACAGGGATCAGCACCCCAGACCTGTGAGGGAGCGGGATGCTTACGGGGAGCTCAACAGCTCAGATGCCACACAACCACCTGCTACAGGATGTCCCCACTACCATGGGTCCCCTCCCTCACCCTAAAGGAGCTGTTGACCAACCCCGCCATAACAAGGGATGCCTCAACGGTCCCAGCTCCCTTCCCTTGAGAAACCACCTGCTCCCCGCATCCCCAGGTACCACTGTGCTGCCCCTGTTCCCCCCGATCCCAGCCCCATACCTGCCAGGCGTGCATTGACCTCATTGTGGTGGGACCAGAGCCAGAGGACGGCCTCATCTCGGCTCTTCACCTGGTCCATGGACTTGGCTGCCATGGCCTCAAAGTGCTGGGCGCACTCCTGGCAGCCAAAGAAGTGCTTGACATAGCAACGCATGGTGCTCAGCACCTCCAGCGGCAGCTCTAGGGGAGAAAGAGGGTCAGAGGGTTGGGAGGAGGAGGGGGGATGAGCCGGGAGCCCACAGAGCCACATCGCCCACAGGCCATCCCCTATTTCCCCCCAAGATGAAGCACCCCTCATCCCGCTACCTTGATCAGGGCTGCCCTGGGCAGCCTGAACTGTCAGCAGGTGGAAAATGGTCCAGAGCCCACAGGGGTAACCGCGGAAATGGGGCTCGCTGCCCTTGCAGCCCACCCAGGTGATGTTGGTGGGGAGCACGGCGGCAGGGATGGCCTGCAGGACAGATGGACGCAGCGTGACCGAGCTGCTGGGTGGGATGAGGGTGGGATAAAGGGTGTCGGGAGGGGGGGGGTGTGCCTTACGTCCTCCTTATTCTTCACTGCCTCCTTCAAGGTGCTGCGGGGCAGCTCAGGCTCTGTCCAGTTCCGCAGCCAACTGTCCAGGGACTGCAGGAAGGTCTGCACGGAGGGGCGCCCAGGGAAGTACTGTGCAAAACAACAGGGAGAAAAAAAAACGTGGTGAGGACACCTGAATCTAGCTCCGGGACAGCCTCCAGCCATGGGACCCCCAGCATCCTGCACTGAGTTTCCCCTGCAGCAGGCTCTGAACAGCAGCCCCAGTGCCCAGCTGTCTGAGCAGGGCACAAAGCTGCTCCAGAGGTAAGGCAGCACAAATCCGATTAGCAGCAATGCTCTCGGACCAAGGAGAAGTGGGGGGTGGTCCATGAGCATGTGGCACCCATCTGCACACAACGTGTGCCACAGCTACAAGAAAAGACAGTGGTGGCAAATAGGAAAAGAGGCCAAGAAGCAAAAGGAAGGAGGGCTTTGCTCTTTCTTCAAGGCTGATCTGTTCTCCCTGGATGCTCAAAATACACCACAGTTCCCAGACTTGCAGGGAATTCATCTGCCAGCTGACACTTGCTGCAAAGTGCCATTCCTCCCTTCCACGTGAGGTTTTGCCATATG